TTGTGGTAAACATGAATGAGATTGTACGGACAAAAGAATATGAAGAAAACATGACTTGGAAGTACATGTTGAGGAATGCGATTTACCATCCAGGTATGACTGTAACCACGCTAGAGAACTTAGTACCTTTCACTGTGACCCTGATGTCTTTCCTGCTGTTAATCTATTCTCTGTGTAAACATCTGAAGCAGATGCAGCTCCATGGCAAAGGATCTCAAGATCCCAGCACCAAGGTCCACATAAAAGCTTTGCAAATTGTGATCTCCTTCCTCTTGTTAAGTGTCATTTACTTTGTGTCTGTAATTATATCAATTTGGAGTTTTGAGAGTCTGGGAAACAAACCTGTCTTGATGTTCTGCCAAGCTATTGCATTCAGCTATTCTTCAGCCGACCCATTCATCGTGATTTGGGGAAACAAGAAGCTAAAGCAGACTTTTCTTTCAGTTTTGTGGAAATTGAGGTATTGGGTGAAAGGACAGAAGCCTTCATCTCCATAAATTCCCAAGAGGGGCATTGTGTGTCTTCTAGCAGAAAACAAACTGGTGGTGTGTGAAACATTTTCTATTTCTTACTGTGTTTTCTGTAATGTATGTGTATGAATAATTTCCAAACATATACCTAGAAAAGTCTTTTACCTAAACTTAGTCAAAAGAAATATATATGTGTGTGTGTATGTGTAATGTATATGAAAAACTTAAGAACATTGACAATAACATATGCTTTTTTGTTTTTTCACACGAACTGCCAAATTATACAAAATATGACAAAAATTACTCAGAATTCCGAAGCCATGGTTTTCATTTATGTATTTTATATTTAATTTGTAGAATTTACAATGTCTATTTATAATTATTAAGAACTAACAGCTTATCTCACGAAAAATGTTGTTGTTTTCTATTGTTATTTGATCCACACAAATATACCACAGTGTGCTTAGAATTCGTTGTTTGAACATCTAATTTTTTGAATGGTAAGGTCGTTCAATTCTATATCAATAATGAGAATGCATCTTTGAGGTTTTGTTCCATTATAAATTCCTGTTTTATAGTAAAAAGCAATCAGAATTATTGATAGAAAACAATGCCCACAAAAAACTTCGAGTGACAAACATATGTAGAGTAAATTTTGTCTATGTCTACCATAAACAGCACTGAGGAATATTAGATTTAATAACAAATATGTGAATAGCTTAGAAAAAAATCTCTTTCTTAATAAAGGGATGAAAATTCATGATCATGATCTTGATTGCTAGTATCATTTTCCATATGCAGTTAGAAACGTCATTTCTTCCAGCTTTTGAATT